CAAAAGTAATTTCTTAAATACCATAGTGCCAAAAATGGTATATAATGTTTTCATAAGTCTCTTTTATTTTATTAAATGAGAATACTTTTTTACTTAAAAATTTAATGTATATCTTATTGGATTGAATTCAGACTATTAATTTTTCTTCTATGAGCCACTAATGCTTTCGATATTTGTATTTCTGCTATTGTCTTTTTTAAAGGCTGAAAATAAATTTATATAGGAAACTAATCATGAATATTCAGCTAATGCCAATATTACAAAGCAGAATAGCTAGTTGAGCTTAATTGGTGCATAATTTATTGAAAGTGTAATGTTAAGATTCACTCTTCACCCATTCATTTAATATATATTTATTGAGTCCATAAAATATTTCAAGCACTTGATTAAGTGCAAATGATAGTGAGTCACTGACTTCATAGATTTTGCCATCTGGTAGAGGTGAGAAAGTAGGCTTTAAAATATATTCTACAAAGTGCTATGTGAGAGAGGAAATACTGTGTGCTCTGGGAACATAAGAACTGAACTAATCCAAACTAATGAAGTTTTATTTTTTTAAACTTTTTTTTTCAAAGAGAGTAAGGTAGAGGGAGAGAGAGAGAAACCTTGATGTGAGAGAGAAGCACCTATTGGTTACCTCTCGTCTACTCCCTGACCAGCTTTGAACCCATAACCTGGGCTTGTGCCCTGACCAGGAATCAAACCAAAGACCTGTTGGAGTACAGGACAATGCTCAACCAATTGAGCTGCACTGGTCAGGGCAAAATGACATTTTAACTTGTAACCTCAGGGATAAGTGAGAGTCAGCTAGGTAAAAAAAATATTGGTAAAGCTCTAGGAAGAGGAGACTCCACAGAGAAGAGAGTGGAGAGAGAATCTGGTAACACCAAGGAGTCATTTAAAGTCTTTAAGTAAGGGGAGGATGGGATGAGATTTTCTAAAATCAAAAGGCTCATTTTGACTAATGTAGAGAGTACATTAAAGGAGGCAAGATGGAGACAGAAAGACCACTTTAGGGGCTAAGGCAGTAAATTAGGCAAGCAAATTAGAGTAGCAGGACCAAGAAGTGTGACAATTACAAAGGAAAATAACAAAGGAAACAGATAGATGGATTCTTGATGTATTTAGTATTTGGAAAGAATGAATAGGTACAGAGGAAGAGGCATTAAGTATAGCTCTCATGTTCTTGGGTTAAGCAATGGATGAAATCGAGTTATTTACCAAGACCAGAGAAGGAGCAGTTTGGAACAAAGGAAAAAACTAGTAAGTTTTATTTTTTCTGTTTCTGGTGTTTGCAAACATCTATAAATTTCCTCTGAATAGCAAACTAATAGCCAATAAATAGTTGGCCATATGCATCTGAGGTTCAGGAAAGACTTAAGAGGCAGAAGAGAAAAATACAGATATTCATTGTAAAATAAATAAATACAATGGTGCCTTGGTAAAATGTTGATTTATATGTATTAAAAATATAATCCAAATAAGTCATTTTTTCTATAAAAAATAAATATAAGTCAATGCTTAGATTAGTTTAACTGTACCTAAAATTACACAGAAAGGTGATATTTAAATGTAAAGTATTTTTATTGCATGGTAAATATTTCATTATTATATCTAAGAACAAGCAATAATTTTTAGCTAATAACAGGTTGGTTTAATTTAAAACATATCATTTTGCTCTACTTTTAAAATAATTGTTCTTATCTTTATTGTTTTTTAAAAAATAAGTGTTTTATTTATGGGTTTTACTTAACATAATATTACCCAAGCATGAACAATGAATGCTAGGCAAAATATGATTTCAAAGGGAAATACAGATGGTAGGTAAAGAAAGTCAACTATGAGCAGGAATACATTTATAGTGTCCCTTCTTAGATCTAGATGTTAAAAAAGAGCGTCTTAAATTGTCATACGAAAATGCAGGGTGTCCCAAAAAATGTATACACGCATAATTATAAAGGTATTGTTTATTAAGATGTATTTCATTTTCAAAAATGTAATGAAATCTTCAGGTATAGTGTATATACATTTTTTGGGACACCTTGTAATCCATTTTAAAGAGGTATGAAATGAAAAATGCAAATATCCAAGTAGAGAGTTGTCATTACCAATTCTGCTACTTTATTCAGTATTACAATTCATACAGAGTATTTGTATTAGTGCCAATTAATCAGCATCATTGTTATCATTTGATTAGCAGGTTACTGTGTTAGCAAATGTTCTAAGCGGGGCAGTGCTAATATAATGCCACCTGTAATTGGAGAAGCAAATATAATTGTTTAAAACTCATGAATTTTGGACTCTGTGACCCAAAGTTTTCTTCATTGTTAAATGGAGCTATTAATACATAACACAAAGTAGTATACAATGAGAATGAAATGAAAATAATACTTATGAAGCCTGAACATAAAATCTAGCACCAGAATCTAGAGCTGATCTTCATGACTGAAAAAGAATCTTAGCAACTGCAAAGGACTTGAACGTGATGGAGAGTACTTAAGGCATGTTAAGGGATGGGAAATGGAGATTCAAGAGTATAATTAAAAGCAGAGTTTGGATATAAGTAAAACTGTCTCATACATTATGCTCTACTGAGAAGAACCCTCTGGAAACAGCTTCCCAAGATTGGGGTCAATGTTGGATAAGGGTTAAGAAAGGATGTCTGACTAGGCATGGTGGTTAGCTTTTTTCTGACCCATCTGGGCAGGTTTGTGGAGAAGACTATGGATGCTATTTTAAAGCTGGGGAGGAGAAGTATTACAGTCCATTTTGTACCTCTGGTGAAAGCTGAAGTCAAGGTCAGGGATCTGTGAGTCCAGTGTTGAAAATATAAGTAGGGAATAAACTGATGTAAGCATCCCAGCAAAGGTAAGAGTCACTCCACTTTAAAGAAAAGCTAGACTATCAGCCATGATAAAAGTTTAGGATGTGTCTGCATTTGAATTCCATTTTTTAATCATGAGCAACAGTGTGTGTGTGTGTGTGTGTGTGTGTGTGTGTGTGTGTGTGTGTGTGTGTGTTTAATAGTAGCTAATAGCTTACTGTGACATAGTTTAGATTAAGTTTCTTATTATGCCTGTGTTGATTTACTGAGATCCTAATTAAAACTCATATGTGTATAATACCACTTATACAAAGAATTCTCCTGTTTATAGATCAAATTATAGTTGAAAGCAACTATAATTTGGTGTCCTTTTCTTTTTTTCTGATAATTTATATCTTTAAATTTTAAAAATATATTTTATTGATTTTTTTTACAGAGAGGAAGGAAGAGCTAGAAACATTGATGAGAGAGAAACACCGATCAGCTGCCTCCTGCACAGCCCCAACCAGAGATGTGCCCGCAATCAAGGTACATGCTCTTGACCAGAATCGAACCTGGAGCCTTTCATTCCGCAGGCTGGCGCTCTACCCACTGAGCCAAACCGGTTTCAGCTATATCTTTACATTTTAAGGGAATGTAATTGTTATAAGGATGAAAATGAAAATGTGTGTCGAGCATTTTAATATTATCTCTATAGGAAAAGAGGTTTGGATGATTGCCTAAGGAAGCTGCTCTGCAAGAATCCTGCAATGAAACATAGGGAAGCCTCCATCTCACCCTTGCTCCTGGTGCCACTAACCCAATGGTGAAAGGAAAGGAGAATGTCAAAGATATTTTGAAAGCAGACATTATAAATCTCTAAAGCTCTTATTTTTTTCCCCACATTCAAACCTATTGCTAGATGGTCTTCTCTCTTCCTTTAATTCCATTACTCTTTTTAGTTTTACCTATTACAACCACTTTCTATTGTAGATATTTCACACATGCCATTTCAAAGCTTAAGAAATGTTATGTTACTTTTATTGGCTCCATGGTTCTAACAATTCCCAAGGTATGTCCAGCTCAAAGAAACACTCCATAGATTTTTTTTCAGGAAAGGTAAAATAGGATTGACTGTTATTAATCCTCTTAGAATGTAATATGCTTCAGCTCCTCCTGTGAGGCTCAACTGGGTTTTCAAAAACCCACCAGGTCTTCTGACAATCCCCTTAGTTGACCATATGTATCTGTCTCTTGATGCCACAATATAAAACTATCATTCTCCTCACTAAGATCATCCATCATGACAATGCACTTTCATGAATAGGATTTAATTTTATGAAGCAACAGTGCTTTCTATATGGTTTCACAGGCTTGTTGTGTACTTTGGGCCAAGAAAAATATAACACTTCTTGAAAGTCCTGTCATCAGATGATCTGCTATTCCTACTAATTCTGTAACTATCAAGTCCATAACAACCAACATAGACTACGAAACATTTTGCAGGATGCTGATTCAAAGATTTAAATAGTTAATGAAAGATCCCTTTAATATAATTTTTTATTGATATTCTTTTCAAACCCAGAGACAAAATTTCCAAAATTACTTGGTCATCTATTCAAGTTATCATTGACATTCTTGGTATATAAGGATATGTACAAAAGGTCTTAATTGGAATACCTGGATACAGTTGTACTTGTTTAGGTACTGCTTATCTGGTCTACTTCCCCTCAGTTCCCCAACTGAGCTGGCATAAGCAGGATAACAAAGTGACCTATACAGTATTTCAGTAACACTGGGCATCTTGAACATTTTTAAATGTAGCTTTTGTTAAGTTGCCTTGATCCATAAATACCAGTTTGAATCATTTTTGTAGGTTTTTTATTCTTTGACTCTTGATGAGGATCATTCTGTGACAAAATTATGGCACATGGTAACCAAAGCAAGACCATAGCTCATTTTGTGAAGTCCTACCAGGCCATACAAAATTACAATAAGTGATCTTTAGTACATAAAACAGGGCCCAAACATAAAAGAAACATCTCAACTTTTGGTTGAGGATCAGCTCAAAGAAATTCAAAAACAAAAACAGTGTGAGACAAATATCACTAGTCAGTTTTACTTTGCTTTAGCGGGATAATAGCTGTTTTCGATATTTACTTAACCTTTGTATCTGCCATATTGTTTCCTGACTTACCTGCAGTTGGAGTGGGCCTAAGCCTGGTGTTGCTGCGGCAGCAGCTGCCATGGTAGTTGGGATCAGCTGAACAGGGTAAGGGTCACCTAAGTAAGAGAATAATAGAGGCGTCAGCACCTTTTATCTACTCTCCACCTGCAAATTAAACTCATGCATTCACTCTTTCCAAAAGCCTTCTTTTGTGTGCTTTGCTGAGGCTTAATGAAAAGCTCTATTGTGCAGCCTTTTACTAACTCTCTTTTCACAATTCTGGCTGAGAGAGGAATGTGAATAAAAGGCACAAGCAATTAAGGCAGAAACCTCATCCTTTTTTCATGATGTATTTAGAAAAATGGGAGGAAAAAGTGTGCATTGATCAGAGGGCTGCACTTTATAACACACACACACATACACACACACACTCACACACACACACACACACCTGACAATCTTGATATGAGCACCAACTCTTCAACAAATTTAAAATGTTATTATAAAACATTATTATGAAAGGGACTTAACAAACTTAATTCTGTTTTAACAAACTACACTCTAAAGATTTAAGCCAAGTAGCTTATCTTTTGAATTTATGACTCAAGTAACCACTTTAATAATGCCTTGTAGGCATATTCATAATAAAGAAAACATTTAATGCACTTTAAAGACAGAGAGACAGAGAGAGAGAGAGAGAGAGAGAGAGAGAGAGAGAGAGAGAGAGAGAGAGAGAAGGAGAGAGAGAGATGAAAGAAAGAAAGAAAGAAAGAAAGAAAGAAAGAAAGAAAGAAAGAAAGAAAGAAAGAAAGAAGGAGAGAGACGAGAGAGAGAGAGAGAGAGAGAGAGAGAGAGAGAGAGAAGGAGAGAGAGAGATAGAAAGAAAGAAAGAAGGAGAGAGAGAGAGAGAGAGAGAGAGAGAGAGAGAGAGAGAGAGAGAGAGAGAAAGAGAGAAAGAGAGAGAGAGAGAGATGGTCACACCAATGAGAGGGAAACATCAATTGGCTGCCTCCTGCAAACCTCTACTGAGGATCAAATCAGCAACTTTGACCAGAAATCGAACTGGTAACCTCTTGGTTCGTAGGTTGACACTTAGCCATACCTAATGTATTTTTTAAGTTACATGAAATATTGGTACCTTTATTATTCCACAGACAGAAATATAATAAATATATAAAAATAAACAGAAAATAGTTTCTTCTCCAAGGTTTCTATTTGTGAGAACATATTAAAAAAGTAAATCTTGGTAATTAAAAATTAACCTTAAAGTTTTAATATATATGATCTATAAAGATATAGACACACATATATGTGTATATATACACACATGGAAGAGTATCCTATATAATAAAACCCTAATATGCAAATTGGCTGAATGGTGGATTGACTGGTTGCTATGAACTGACCACCAGGGTCAAATACTCAATGCAGGAGCTGTCCCCTGGTGGTCAGTGCCCTTCCAAAGGGGGAGCGCCCTTCAGCCAGAAGCCAGGCTCATGTCTGGTGAGTGCAGCAGCGGTGCCAGGAGCCTCCACGGCAGCACTAAGGAGCAGTGAGACGAGCGTTAAGGAGCAGCAAGCAGGCGGGTGGTAAGGAGTGAGGGGTCCCAGATTGTGAGAGGGCACAGGCCAGGCTGAGGGAACCCCTACACCCCCAGTGCACGAATTTTGTGCACTGGGCCTCTAGAAATGTATTTTTTTGATACAAAACTTTTTTCCACTTTGCAGAGGTGCAACAGACATTTTGCATAGAGCCCAAATGTATGTAAACAGATATATACATTATTAGTATTTGAATATGAAGACAGCAAATAAAATAATAACCATAAAACAATTTTCTAATATGTAAAACATGTACTGAAAATCCAATTTGTGAAAAACTTATTGAATGAACAATATACCTGACAATTAACTCAGTTAAAATATTCATTCAAAAATATTTATTTAGTACTTGCTCTGTTGTTATGCGCTGCTCTTGACATTAAAAAGAGAACTAATATGCACAGGTGTATTTACTGGGAATTTAATAAAGCTTACTCTTTGGGATTCTGAGAATTTAATGAAGCTTACTCTTTGGGATTCTGGGGAGGTCCCCTGGCAGTGTATGCACAGGGTCTTATGTTTTATATTTGTCAGCTTCCACAAATTTCTACTTTGTCGGAATTTCTTTTAATAAGTTAACATACATTTTTCACTTGTGTATGGGTGTATATATTTGTATTCTTAAAGAGGCCTCCAAAGTATTTGTTTCAGGCTTCAAAATATCAACATCTGAATCTACCTCTGCTGACCTGGCCTTCCCAACTGTTAGAGCTTAATGGCAGCAAATGATAATTCAAAATGAAAAGATAAATATAAAAATAAGCATAAAAATTATGACTGTTAAGGAAGTATATAACAACTATAGACTACATTGCAGTTGCTCCAAATATGGTCTTAGAGGTCAAAGAAGTGATATTTAATCTAAAACTTGAATGAAATAAAAGCTAGCCAGACAAAGAATGGAAGGAAGAGCATTTCAGCAAGGGAAGCAATTCTTATGAAGACAGAGTCAAATGGAAGAGTTTTATCACAGCCTCGTCATTGAATTGCTGAAGTTCAGGGGAAGTAGAGGTAAATGGTGCTGAAGAGGGAATCGGGGGCCAGATTTTATACAGCTTTCTAAACAATTTTAAAGAATCTAAACTTTACCCCATAGGACAAAACAAAACAAAAACAAAACAAAACAAAAACAAAAACAAAAAAACTACAGGCATGGAAAAAAGAAAAGTTGTGTAAAATCCGTTGGGCTAGCAGTTTGGAAGCTACAATCAATAATAAAATAAAAAGATGTAGAACTTTGTATAATATAATATATAGTAATGGTCTGGACAAGGGTGATGATGTTGGGATGGATAGTGGAGAAAGTCAAGCGATACAGAGGCAAAATTGATTAAACCTAATGATTTTTTACAATGTGAAAAAGAGAAAACTCCAGGGTGACTGTCAGAGTTTTGCTTTGAATAGCTGATCTTACAGTGGTACTATTTGTTGTTGGGTTTTCAAACATGGACAAGAAGCAAGATTGCCAGTCTGGACCTGATTAAGAGGAAAGGCAGGGGGGGGGGGCAGTAAAGAGTTCGGATATGAACATCTTAAGTTTGACATTACTATTATTCAAAATGGGGGTGTTCATTGAGGCACTTGATAAACATGCCAGAGAGACAGATCTGAGAGAGGTCAACACATACCTAGAATGTAAAGCTATAATTAACCCTTCATGAGATCATTTTAAAGTTAGTAATAATAATAATAAAAAAAAGAAGTCAAGGATTGATTGATTGGATTGTGGGATACACTAACATTTAGGGTCAGGGAGATAGGTAACTACAGAAAAACGGAGGAGAAATGTAAATTTGATGTTCCAGAAGCCAAGTCAAGAAAGATTTTCTGAAAGAGTGATCTATGTTTTTAAATTCTGAATTCAAAATGTGGAAATCATTGGTAACTTCAACAGGGACAATGTCAGTGGAGTAGTCAGTGAGAAAACATGATTGGAGTGAGTGCGATCAATACAGGACGATTGAAATTAAGACACGGGGGCATAAAGTGTAGAGCCTTATTTACTGAAAGAAAGCCACTAAAGAGCAACATTAGCATCACCTAGGAGTTTCTTAGAAATGTAGAGTTTCAGACTCTATCCCAAATCCACAGTGGTAGGCAGCCTCTAAAATGGAGCCTAATACCTCCAATGCCTCCCAATGCAGTTTGTGTAAATCCCTCTTCTTAAATAGAACCAAAAAGTGATGAGGTACTATTTTTGAGAATAAATTATACAAAGTGTCTGGCTCTGTTTTGCTTACTCTTTCCCATTTCTACCCTCTTTCTGTATCTTGGAGCAAGCGGCTATATTGTGAGCACCTCTTTGGAGAGACTCATGTAGCAAAGCACTGACCTCTTGGACCAACAGCAAGCAAAGACAGGAGGCATACCAGCAGCCAAGGGAGGGAGCCTGGAAGTGGATTCCTCCCCAAGTCAGCCTGAAGATGACTACAGTCCTGACCAAGACCTTGACTGCAACTATGAGAAAGATCCTGAGCCAGAGGTACCTAGCACAGCTATGTTCAAATAAATGCTTGTTGTTTTAAGCCACTAAGTTATTTGCTTTTTAAATATTTTTTTATTGATTTCAGAGAGGAAGGGAGAGGGAGAGAATCATCATAATGAGATAGAATCATTGATCGGCTGCCTCCTAATTGCCCCACGCTGGGGATCAAGCCCACAACCCAGGCATGTACCCTGACTGGGAATCGAACTGTGACTCCTGGTTCATAGGTAGATGTTCAACCACTGAGCCACACCAGATGTGCAACCACTAAGTTTTGAGATAACTTGTTAAAGTAGCAAGGATATAAGCTTTGAGTTAGGATTAAAATTTTAATAAGAGCCGCATGTGATATGTATTCCTTTGAGAAGGGCTGAAGTTAACAGTTGCAATGAGGTGTTCTGCAGTAGCTTATGAAGGATGTATGATCAATAAAACTTAATTTAAAAGGCACATACTTATAAAAATTATAGCATGGTTCTATGCCAAAAAGAAAGAACCAGTAAATAAGAAATAAACAGCTGAAACCGGTTTGGCTCAGTGGATAGAGCATCGGTCTGCAGACTGAAAGGTCCCAGGTTTGATTCCAGTCAAGGGGGCATGTACCTTGGTTGTGGGCATATCCCCAGTACGGGGTGTGTAGGAGGCAGCTGGTCAATGTTTCTCTCTCATAGATGTTCCTAACTCTCTATCTCTCTCCCTTCCTCTCTGTAAAAAAATCAATAATATATATATATATATATATATATATATATATATATATATATATTTAAAAAGAAACAATGATAAGGGGGCATGACTGATGTTACATAATAGGAATTTACTTACATTTGATATTTTTAATATTTAATCTAAAAAACATTTTATTAAGTAAAGGAAATTTTAGATGTTTTAAATGCTGAATTTGTATTTATACAAGCCTAAACTAAACATTATAATACAGTTATTAGTTTTGACAATTTAAATACTTAAAATATAATTCATTTATAATTTTCACTTAATGAATATAATCTTAAAATTAACTACAGCAGAA